CCACCCCAGGGGAGGACATCCATCACACAGTAATCTCGTGCGTGGGAAATTAACGTCTCCTACCCCTAACCCTGCAGGAGATGGGACCTCCATTTATTCATCCCTATCCGAGAAGACTAGAATATCTAGTAACCATTTCTTGATGTTATAGAAAGGTAGCATATTCTTCTCACTTGTTTTAAGACCTTGAGTGTTGGTCTGGCTGGGGTTAATATAATATCAAGACTAAAATAATATCAAGAAGACAAGTGATGAGAATAGTAGTTGATCAGATGCCAAGTTCTCTAAAGGAACATCATAAGAATTGTATTGCAAACAGTAGGGAGGATTATCAATGAGATCTTGGGAGGGAAAGAGTTAAAGCATTATGGCACAGTTGTTGAAGGTTACACTAGCATAGTTAACACAAGTAAATGCTGTGCTTGACTTACTTTTTCTTTTTTTTTTTTTGTTTGGGTGGGAAGGAAAAAGCTAGTTAACAAATAGATTCTGTGTTGCAGTGTGTGTCTTTTCGGATCACAGATCACAGATGATGTCAAAATTTCACTCCGGAGATCTCAGTAGTAATTCTCCTTGCTGTCTGCCATACAATTCTTATGACATTAGTTCAGAGAATCTAGCATTGGATCAACCAGTAATCCCCCAACTGATATTTTTCTTTACTGTCATCACTTGTCTGCTTGATATTGTATTGATATAGTAAGGAGGAATTCTGTCTTGGAGCAAAAGGGTAAAGAACAAAAATGTGACACTCAAGGTGTAGCGGAGTGTATCACTGATATTCTTACCACATTTTGATGTCTTTTGTGATCCATTTCTGACCAGACCCACAGAAACATAATTTTTTTATGTTTTAATATGATAAAATTTAAGCAGAATGTTGTCATCTATGCAACTGTCCTCCTGTAGATCATAAATAAGAACCAATCCAAATACATTTTTGATTCAGCTTTTTTATACAACTATGGTGCAACATGGTGTAGGCCATCATGAGCCATGCTGCTGTGCATGTAAGTTTGGCCTTTTCTGAGGAGGTGCTTAGAAAGTCGTGGTAGCATGGTGGCCTCATGGTTAGCGCGCTTGACTCTGGATCAAGTTGTCCAGGTTTGAGCCCTGGCTGGTGACATTGTGTTGAGTTCACCCAGGAGAATTAAATGGATACAGGTGAATTTAATGCTGGGGGTAACTATGGGATGGACTAGCATTCCATTCACGAGAGAGCAGAAATACTCCTAGTTGCTTTATGCTATGGAAACTGGGGTTAAGGACCAGCCCAATGGGCCACTTGACTCATAGGCAGGCTTTCCCTTCTACCTGCTTAAAAAGTGAAAAAAAAAAATTTTCAGTGGATTTTTGTCTTCTCTTTCAGCATCCCTATATCTACCCTCCTTCATTTACCAAATGTAATTCAGAGGGAGTTATAGCTGTTCGGAATTTTTTCCCAAATGGAACACTTCGAGACTGTCTCTGTAGGGTATGCATACATTCAGTTGTTGGTTTTTTCTTTTAAGAATTGCATCTGGAAGACTGTGTTGATTTGATAATGATTTTAAATAATCATTGTTTGAATGTTACAGGCCAAACCAAAGCTTAACCAACTTAAGAAATATGGAAACCCAAAGACTAGGTCTGCTTTACATGAACAGAATATACAGCTGTTTGGAAGACAAATTCTAGAGGTGAGCAAGGATTCATTAATAAATCTGACCTTCGAGACTACTTGCGATGACTGTTCTTACACTGTACATGACATAGGCTAACTGAAGTACCATTCTGTATCATCTTGCAGGCATTGAAATTTTTACATGATAAAGGAATTCCTTATGGTAAGCAGTGCACACAGGCTTGTCTTTGAAAATGGAGTGGAATAATTGTTTAAAATATACCTTAAGTTGACATCCACACAAATTTTGTGGGGACGTTGGGTGAGACTCAAGGTTGTGTGATTCTGGTTGAGGACTTCAGATTGAAAGGTCATTCTCAAAGCCCCAGCTTTTAGTTTGAGTCACTTGTGATGTGTTCTTGGAGGAGGCACTTGGCCTGCACGATGCCTTTCCCATGTCGGTCCAATGGCGTAACTATGAACCATAAATAATTGTCTCCAGGAAACCTAACAAATTGTGAAGAATAACATCTCATCCACTGATTTACCCTTTCCCTACTGTGATCTGAATGTCAATTCTCTACATTGTTTGCCATCTGTTTCAAATAATTTTACCATGAGAATTTAGTGTTAAATCAGACAACAGCTACTGGCTATTGATATATTTCTTTCTTCTTAATACCTTTCTGTTCAAAACTGTATTGGAACTGTATGAAAACATTCTGTTTTGGTCAGTCCTGTAAGTACAAGGGTCGTAGGTGGTAATAATATTACTAGGTTCAGCCATAGCAGTTGTGTAATTCAGTCTCAGACATGAACTTCATCCTTTACTGGTCAAATGCAGAGTGCCAGGCCTTAAATCTATGTCCTACTTCCATAGGTCATTTACATTCAGGAAACGTTATTGTGGAAGGAAATATTTGTAGGTAAGTCTTAGCACAGCTGGAATCTAAGGTTAAAAAAAAAATGTTTCTTTTTCATTTACTTTATTTCATATTAATACAATTTTCTGACATTTAAAGCTTTATCATATTAATTTTATGATAACAAATGATATGTTAAAGATGATGTTTCTTAGTGAATGACACAAAATAAAAGAAAAATGAACTTGGAGTGCTCTTAAAAGGAGTTGAAGCTACACATGTAGATGTACACTGTACAACCTTCTGATCAGTTCTTCGGATACTCTACCACTTAGGCACAGGAGACCTTCTCAATTCAGGCGAACTCCATGTGCGACTCAGTGTTTCAAACCGCATCGTGGATACTCAGCATGTATTTGTTGTTCAAACTACTGTTTGTAAATTTATCCTCTTTAAGTATTTAACTCTTTTTTTAAGAAAGTAAAAGAGAGGAATGGCTCGTGGATAGCTAAATATTTTTAATGTTTTAATTGAAAAGGTAGCAAAAATTTGCGCAATACAGGTTTCAAGACTCCGTCTGATCTTTCTTTTTTTAGATTACTAGAAATTGAAAATGGTCTTTTGGGCATTCCATCGATTCACAGACATCGCTATGTTCCTATGAAGAAACTACAGGTACCGAATTTGTACACGAAACACTTGAATTGCATCAGTTTGCATCATTTTATTTACATGAATTGTCTGCTCTTTACTTCGGCGAAGAAAACCTTTACCGTCACTTGTCAAAGTGCTTTTGATTGGACCAGGAAACTCGCGCCAACCTGTCAACCAGATAGATGCAAAGCTAAAATAAATCGCAACTCGGTTATTCGCTTTTTCCCGCGCTTTTTCCCGCGCTTTTTCCCCGCGCTTTTTCCCCGCGCTTTTTCCCGCGCCTTTTCCCGCGCTTTTTCTCGCGCTTCTTCCCGCGCTTTTTCTCGCGCTTCTTTGAGTTCTCATTGCTAATGATAATGTCAACCTTTGTTCCGATTGATTCTTTGATTGATTGGTTCTGGCTGTTTGCTTGTAATTTCCTTTTTTCTGATTGGCTATTGTGATAACTCTGGTTCATTTTACGACACGATCGAAATACACTCTAAGTGATTATCTGTTTGCATTTTGTTTCAATGCTGTAGGAGAAGGAAGCAGAAGATGTGTACTGTTTCGCGCACTTGTTGTACGAGATGGCTTTTGGTGAAGCATTGCGTAGCAGTACACCACAAGATGTCCCCCCAAACTGCCCATCACAACTGAGTAAGAGTCGTTGAACAAGTTAAACTAGGGAGCTTAGTCTTACAACAGGCTAGTAGACTTAGATAATTATGTTTAGAGACCAAATCTCCAGCTGTCTTTAGCACTAAAAGGGATTTTCAAAGGAAGGCCGTAAGTGATTCGGAATAGCTTCGGTCTTGCTTTACTTTGCTCTGTGATTGGTTTGAAAAAACTCGCACCACACTCTAAACCATTCAGATTTGAGACTTAACTCAAGGTCACCTTGGTTTCACGTGATTTCGCGCCACCTTCTCGACCAATTAGATTTAAAACTTATAACAGCCTCGCGTTTCCCGCGCTTTAGCCAGTCTGCTTGTTGATACATTGGTTCCCATTGGCTAATTATAATATTTTCATATACTATTGGTTGTTTTGTTTTTTTGGGGGGATTTACGACGTTCATCTTGCGATGTTTTGTCAAGAATCAAGTCATCTAAGTGACCCTTCAATTACTCTAGGTGATAAAATAACGCGTTAACCTGTGTTTGAATACAGGATCAGTGTTGCTGTCCATCTTAAGCGACGAGGCGTGCAATAAGACAGGACTTCCAACTGTTACTGATCTTCTTGCGAATCCGTAAGTGTGGAAACTGTACATGTGTACCTATGGCATGCTTGGAAGAGAACGTAACTTTGTTTCCGGGATCTCTCTTTTCCCTGGGGCGAGAGATGGGCGGAAGAAAAAGAGATCCTGGGAGCAAGAATGGGCGAGACCCTTCCTGTGACGACGTCTGGATTCTTGACAATTGAAAGATGCACTTTTCAGCTAAATAGACATTTAATTCGTTTCAACTCATATCTTATATTTTCCAGATTTTTTACGGCCATCGACCTTCCCGCTGGTGATAAGCCTCAACTAAAGGTGAAATTGATTTACCAAAATAATACAGATCTACTTGAAGTTTCTTTACTTCAAACCGTCATTGGTGTAGAAAACTCGCACGACTTTCTCGACCAAACAGATGCAAAACTCGTACTAGCAGCGATTTGGTCACTCGTATTTCCCGAGCATACAGTTTACCTGTATTTTCCTTGAACTCCCATTGGCTCGTTCTCCTATTTGCTCTGATTAGTGCTGAAAACTCACGCGAATTTCTCGGCCAATGAGATGCAAAACTCATACTAGCAGCGACCTTGTCACTAGGATTCCCGCTCCTAAAGTTTACGTGTATTTTCTTTTAGCTCCCATCGGCTCGTTGTTACATTTACCTTTGATTGGTCGTTGCTATTACTTTGGATCTGGTTGTGCGACAAACTAAAGCAGAGAACATTATCAAAAAAAAAAGCACTTTGGGGGAGTGGAAAGGTGGATATTCCCATCAACTTTACATAAAATTGTCAAGAACAAAATGTTTGGAAGCGAAATTCAGTAGCGTTAAAGAATAGGAGTTTAGCTGTAACCGGTTTCTTATCAAAGGTTAGTGCGTGGTGAATCAACTTTTCTTGTTATATATCTTATTCCCGTAGATTCCAAGTAAACTGAAAGAAGCCTTAAAAGCAGCTAAAGAACAGGCTGAATCTAAACTCAAGGAGGATCAAAAAACGGTAGAAATGACCTCTTCTTCTTAACAATAAGAACCTTAACGAGGAAAGGTTTCCTAAACGAGGAAACGTCTATTATAAAAAGGAATTATATTCTACCAGGGAATTTTGCGAATCACTGTCTGTGTTAACCCGCCTCCTACTGAGCGCTCGCCCAAATTACGCCTGCTCTGCAGGCTATTGAAACCACCACTCGTTACTTCATCTGGGAGGCTGTTCGTGTACTGTTTTCAGTTTTTTGTCGTTTTGTATATTTATTGTTCGTTCTTGTGGAAGGAGGAGAACCAGAAAGCCCCGATAAAAAACCTGGGAGCAGGAACGAGAACCAACTGCAGACCTACACTTAATACTCTAATTCTAACAGTGATAAAAGTCCAATTTCTCCCGACAGTATCACCGGTGAATCAAACATCAAGGTCACGAGAATAAAGGAAATGACCGCGAACTCAAGAAACACTTGATTGTTAGACAAATTCTCCTTGTTTACACCATAGGAAATGTATAGAGAACAGTATGGAGAACTTTTATACTGATATTGGGATATGAAAGGGCGAGCGCTGGAATCGGGGAATCGAACCCATTCCTAAGCTCGATCACCGGCCGCTGCTCGGGAACCAGAGCCCACGCTCCTCCCCGGGGCGACTCTCGGGGAGGAATGAAAAAGAGCGGGCCCGAGAGAGCGGCGGAAATCGAGCCTAACCCATTCCCCTTACCGGTTTTGATTCAATAATCAACGTCAACATTAGTTGACACATCATATTTGAAGAGTTCTTTTTAGGTGAAGAGTAACAGTTAACAAATGGTAAACACCACAGCGTACACTATTGAGTTATGGATGCACGCGGGAGGTTGCTAAGCAAGAAAGAAGCGTAAGAGTCGCTCGAGGCGATAGCCGAGAGCGACTCTAGCTTCTTAAGTGCTTAGCAAACCTCCCAAGTGCATCCATAACTCAATAGTGTGCACTGTGGCGTTTACCATTTGTTTTATAACATAACATTGATACATTGTAGCTAAAGAGTTCCCTTTTATGTAACAAATCTTACGCGACCAGAAAAAACAAGCGCGCGCGCAAAAATAGTCTTTGCATTTGCTCACGTCAGTAGCGTACACCCATGGGCAAATGGGGGACGCTAAATTGACCAATCAGAACGTGCGCTTTACTTTGGTTATGTTATAAAAGCTCATGGAATCGCGATTTAACATTGTTTTTGTTTTGTTTTGTTATTTTTGGGGGGGGGGTAAGGGGGCTAATAGATTAACTTAACGTGAGCAAAAGAAATAAAATAGGTGGTTGAAAAGATCAGTGCATGAACGATTTTTTCGCCGATTGTAGGTACTGCGATAAGGACTTTCAACGAATGAAGTCTTCATTTCTAGACACGAGGGTGTGATGCTAGAATTTTCCTTTCTTTTTTCTCTCCAGCTACGACAGTTTCGGAGAGCATCGAAAGCGCACGCTCACCACATGTCAGAGGAAGAGAAGAAGAAAAGAAAGAAGTCCGCGAAGAAGGTGGAGATGGTTTCTTGATCTTTTGTTGTGTTCTTTATGACGTTTCCCAAACAGCACTTATCAAAGTTAAACAGCCACGTCTTATTTCGAAATAAAAAATTGTGAGATTAACATTGAAGACAATTGACCCCTAAAAACTCCCAGAAGTGATTAACATGAAACTTCTTCCTACATATCCATGTGTTATCTAACGATCAGGTAATAAGAGTACTCACACCAATCAGGTTAAGGAGTAAAGGGGGTAAGTTTGTAAAAAAACTGTGGTGCTGCGTCGGTCAGGGTAACAAGGTAATTTAGTTGTAACAACTGAGTTGAATTTGTAAATTGGCCACCATAAAGAGTTAAAAAGCGGACCTTTCGAGCGTTAGCCCTTCGTCAGAGCGAATAGCCCTTCGCTCTGACTATGGTCTAGCGCTCGAAAAGTCAGCTTTTTAGTTCTTTACGGTGGCCAATTTACAAATTGAACTTAGTTGATATAACCAAATTACCTAACCAGGTATAAGCTGTTTTTCTGATTTAACCGCCATTGGGTTAACCGTCTCCCGGTTAACTCAATGGATAGAGCGCTGGACTGCTGTGCGGGAGGTCGAGGGATCGAGCACCGGCCGGACCAACACTCAGGGTCTTAAAGTAATTGAGAAGAATTTGCTACCTTTCTATAACATCAAGAAATGGTTAGATATTCTAGTCTTCTCGGATAGGGACGAATAAATTGAGGTCCCGTCTCCTGCAGGGTTAGGGGTAGGAGACGTTAATTTCCCACACACGAGATTTCTGTGTGATTGATGTCCTCCCCTGGGGTGGGATGGGAGGGATAGTGGACGCACTTAATTTGGAGCCTCGCTCTGTTATGCGACCCTCACCACACTCTGATGAAAGTGATTAAATAAATCTAACACCAAATTCTCGTAAATAATTTACGAGGAAATATGTCGCAGCTAGAAGGGAGAATTAGCAATCAGATATTGGGAGTTTGAGGGTGCCGACAGCATCACCCCTGAATCATCAGTACTAATGTTGAATATTTTTTTTGATATTCTACTGTTGAATATGTTTTGTTCCATTTACAAATAAAAGAAAAAAAAAAAAAATTGATGAATGCTCATTATGATAACAAAAACTGACTAATGGGTAGGTCAATCAACGTACTTTAAGGAGATGAAAAGAAGTACACAAGGTGTTTCCATTTTAATTTTATTATTGTTATTGTTATTAGTACAATTTGTTACAGGACTAGCATGTTAGCATAGTGGTCAGCATGCGTTATACAGATTCTGTGTTTAGTGTAGATGAGGTGTAGGATTGTTAAGGAGCATCTGTTGAGTAGGAAACATTATACAAGTTTTATAAGGAGAATACAATGTTCCTTTTGTTACAGATATGAATATGTATATATATAAATATATATATATTTTTTTGTTGTTGTTGTTGTTGTATTTTTGCAAGAACTATCAGGTGTTCAATTATTGCCACACCTTCATTGTGAATAGAGTTAAGGTGTTAATGAATAAATATCAGAATATTAAGTCTCAAGGGTCTGTTGGTACCAAGTTGGGCTCTTTCATGGAAGGTTTTTCGAATGTCACGCAACGCCCCGTGACATCCTAAAGAACAGCTGCAGAGAAGACTAGAGATATATCAGTTAGCCAGCCAGCTTGCTAGTCAGTTTTCAAGCCAGTCTGTGTTTACCTATTCGTTAGTTAGCTAACTAAGCACAGTCAGTTAGTCAGTGACTCAGTATTTATATTGATCTCTGAAAACGGTCCAAATGTTAGATGTAAATTAAACAAAACACAGATCAGAGTTTGATATCTGTGTATTAACTTTTTCTCTTTAAAAAAAAAAAAAATAGGTAACAATACTGCCGCAATAATCATCGCTAGTATTACACGTATCATTTTCATCGTCAAAATCCTCATCGTCAGTCGAGATATCTTCCCCTCATCGCTGAACAAACGTGTCATTTAATTTCCAACGTCCAGTCTTTTTCCTTGTCCTAACTGCATCTCCATGACAACTTCACCCTCAAACTTGTCATTACGATCATTTCCACACCCTCTCCCGTATTTGCCTCCTTCGTCGTCTTTTTGTCACCTTTAAATTTGATAATATTGACCTTATTGTTATCATCGTAGTTCGCTCTTTTATCTTGTTACCATTTCGAGGCCTTTATTTCAAGAGTGTAGCACGGAATAGTTACAGAAACTAAATAACGTTTAAAGTTGGCTTATTGACGATCGCGTTTTTGTTTTGTTTTGTTTGCACAAACCTTTGCCCCACCCACTCCTCCCTCACCCATCGTTTCTTTCGTTTCCCCGCAGTTGCAGAAGGAGGCATCCCTATCGGACACAACACAGACAACAGGTAACAAACGTTTCTCTACCTTTTGGGTGTTGAAAAATTTAAAGTATGCGTAATAATTTCGTTTTTGAGGTGTTTGGAATTTTAATTAACACGAGTTCGCCTCAAGCTCGCCGAGGCAAGTTCATCTCTTTAGTGGTGCAGATTTTAGCCGCATCCGTCTATTTTGAACCGTTCCTGTTCTTTTTGATCTTGGAAGTTTTCGTCGGATTTTTTTTTTTTTCAACTAATGTTGGAGATGTGAGAGAGCTTGAGGCGATTACAATTTCTTTTTTGACCGAGCTAATCACCCAATTTTACCACGCTATGGCTGCTTACTCACTAGAGGCGTTAGAAACTAACTGAAAATCATTTTTTGATCAGCTCGACCGCCATCCTCTCCTTCGCCTGCTTCGCGAACTCAAGCTTCTGGTACGTTTACCAGCTCATTTGTGTTTTGGATTAGCTTATTTACGTTGTATTAAGGTCAGGGTGTACACGTTATCTTAGTGTTATTATGCAAATAATTATTAGAATTACAATAACTTTTTTTGTCTTCACTCCTCGACCATAGAAAAGCTGGAACTCATGAAGGAAATCTAGTGCCATGCCCTGTCTCGTCCAAACCCACTCTCATCCAAATATCTTAACAACTTGAGTTCCTTATATGAACTACCAATTAGTGAAAATGTTACTGCATATTATACCCAGGGAAGTGAACTTAACATGTTTGTTGGCATAATTTGAAACCTTTTGGTGCAACTTAGTTTTAACTCAAATTTGCTCTGTCTTTTGTTTTCCTTCTTTTAGCCGTACCACCTCCACCCAAGACCCCAGCACAACCACCTCCACCTCCTTCCCAGCCTCCTGCTCAGAAGGCATCCCTTCCGCCAAAATCATCAGAACGAGGCGCTTTATTAAGCTCTATCTGTGATTTTAAGAAGGGTGGATTAAAAAAGACTGAGACTATTGACAAAAGCAAGCCTAATCTATAGGGTTGTAGAATTTAGGGCGCTTATCATCGGAACCAACTGGCCAAACTGGTCCATCTATAAGGACATTTTCGTTTGCAAGACAAATTTTCTTGCCGAATTGTCTGTTTTCAAAATTTTGACAGGATATAAGTAATAGAACACGATATAAATAAGAGACGATTCTGATAATGTTGATAACAGCAGCGTTGGAAAGTCTAGAAAATCTTGATAAGTTTGTTAGTTGTATTATCGTGCGCTGTTTTTCGCTTTTTTGTAATTATCATCATCGTCATTATTATTATCATTGATGTTATCGTTATTGCCATCATTATTTATCGTTATGATTGAACTGCTGGGCTGCTGAGCTCCGATGGTAAGCGCCTGTACTTGATTAGGAAAGGTGTCAAGTAACAATCCAATAACAAGGTATTATTATGTCATTTTCACGACACGTTGAAAAAAATGTTATTGTAGTTAAAGTTGACGCCGCGTACTTTTGTGAAAATTTAGATGTTTTTTCTAAAATCGAAACAAGCAAGCAAGGAAAACAAAAATGACGAAATCAAAGAACGGATAATTGTGTCCTATTATCTTAGGTGGCTTACCTCGAGATTTTGTGGTGAGCATTAATTTTGTTAAAGGAAAATGAGAACATAATGGTAAAACGGAGAAAATCTTTCTGTTCTAAAAAAAACTAAGAAATTGTGAGTTATTTAATACCAGCCACTGTTGATCTTATTCGATGTATGTTGGAACAATGAAAAGTTGCTTATCTACATAACTGCGCGCCTAATTAATCCTGTCGCTGTGAAAATCCTCTTTTGTATAAGTCTTCGATAATTTCCAAATTACCTATATTGAAAGAAATGCTTCTGCATCAATGGTGTTCCATGTCACGTGTATACAGTGCGTGTTAAACTGTTAAACTCAATGGTCGAAGTTGTCTTAAATCATGCATGCGGTAGTAGTGATTAATGAAAGAAAGAAAAAGTCCATGAAACTCTCAAATTTTAGTGCAATTGTAACCAAGAATTTAATTTTAGTAATTAAACGAAATTAGAAAACAACACGAATAATATAGCTGTCTCCTCTTGATGTGCTCTTGGAAATTTTGGAGCTGACTCGTCACCAGTCTTCCTTTGCTGTGGTCTAAAAGCGCAAGGAGGATGGGATGGAACCGTACTGCATTGATCAAAGTTTGTGTAAGCAAAATTAAAGTAACCAATCTAAAGAACGGGAAAATATCAAAAGAGCCAATGGGAATTCAAGGTAAAACACGAAATATGCCTGAAGGGCGGGACACGCGAGTGAAGTGGGCGAGTTAAGTTAAAAGTTGTGTATCTGAGTGGTCCAAGGCGCACAACGAGTTTTCAGGGTTACAGGTGACGTCACCCCAATCCCCGTCGCCCCCTAATGAATTTCCATCGATCCGAAGTAAGGTTGCGTCTTTACCAACTTTTGACCTAGGTTTCCGAAGGGTTTGAGCGTATTTTGAGGAGCATGAAGTGAGAGGGGGGGAAGGGGTTGACGCCCTTGCTTACGCTACAATGTTAAGCAAACCCAGCAACCCCCATAAATCACCCCACCGAAAAGACTGCTGCACCCGGTACCTTTGCAATACAAGCGTTTAATCCTTCTTTAACAAAATCTAAGAGCATGTGCATATTGGCTACAATTTCAAAGTAACATCCGAGCGAGTAGATACCATAAATGATAAACGTACATAAACTTGAAAATATATTACAAAAAGGCTGAATACATGAAAGTCCGTAATTGAGATTGTAAGGAAGGAATGCGCTATATACAATGATGCTATAAGGGGCAACCTAGATACGACGTATCAGCTGTAAATACAAACAAACACAGTAAAGAAAGAAAGAAAGAAAGGAAAAGATAGTCCTCCCCCCGCCGCCCCGTCTACGCCCGAGGGATAATCGGAGAGTTAAAGTTCATTGAGAACACATTCTAGATTCTTTTGTCATAGATTCTCGACAAAATGTAGGGGGAGGAAAAGGAAGGTGAAGGAAGGGGGTGGGGTGGGGGTTAAACGCACTTCCCTACACTTCACCCTGCTTTTAAGCTTAAGGCAAAATAGCGTCGTATCTGAGGTTGCACTCCACTGCACGAAAAAAACGATGTGAAACTTCGAGTGCATCGAATTGAGGCTTTATATTCTAAGCAAAATCATAGGTCTTCTGCTCCAGTTATTTTGCTCATTTAATAATAATAATAATAATAATAATACTAATAATAATAATAATAATAATATATCTAATATATAGAATCAAATTTATGTCTACTATTTCAAAAACCTAATCCGATATATTTGCTAATACGTTAAATGAATATCAATGCATTGTAATTGAAGTGGAGCGCTTGCATTAAACGATGTTTGGATACACTTTTAAAGCTAGCTTAAATTACCATTGTAAAATGCAAAGCCAATTCACATAAATAGGAGAGTAATATTTAAGAAATTAAATGTATAATGAGTTTCAATCAATGAATATGAACTGCGCACCAAACTCTAACACAACAAAAGTAAACTGATAACAAGTTAGGGATAATGTTGGGTTAGGGGAAGGGTAGCGCATTTGCTCAGATACTAGCATGGATCGCGAGTTTCCTAACTAGTCTGTCACCTCTTGTTTTACACTAGTTTCGCATTCGGATCCCATATTCAGCAATGCTTCTGGCGAATTAAACCCTCCAGTCTCTTCAGTTTCCATATCTTGGCTCGTCCCAGGGAAAAGGTCTTCTCGCAACTCTCCTTTCCCGTTACCCTCCGTGGCAACAGATTCTTCGGCTGGTACTTCGTTTTCGGTCGGCCCCGATCCGTTTTCTTCGGCATCGATAGCGTCTCTCTTTAACTTATCGTCGGAAGACGAGCTGTTCTCGGAGATGCTCGACAATGTTGCCGACGGTGTACTCGGGCCCTTTTGTTTGGCGTGCCAGCGTTTATGTTTGTTGAAGTTCGACGGGTCACTGAACTTCCTCGGGCATTCCTTGCACTTAAATGGTCGGTCGCCAGTGTGAACGCGCACATGGATTTTTAAACTACTAGAGCTGAAGAAAGTTTTGTTACAATGCTCACATTTGTACTTCTTTTCACCAGTGTGCTTAAGAAGATGCGACTTGAGAGAAGTGTACTTGGTGAAGCTGGAGTTGCACTCTTCGCACGAAAAATTCTTTCCTGTGCGAGCCGCCTTACCTCCGCGCTCCTCTCCATAAGCGTCACTGAGCGCAACATCACCTCCTACCAGCTGTGCGCCATCTTGAAATTCACACACATGCAGTCGCAGTTCCTCTGCCTCGTAGAAAGTGGCACTGCACCTTGAGCAACTATAGGGCTTCTCCGAATTATCTTCTTGCGTGTGTGATAACAAGTGCACTTTAAGCCGATCTCCTCGAGTGTACTGCTTCCCACAGAAGTGACACACGTGCGGTTTTTGACCGCTGTGACGTAGCATGTGACGCTTGAGGTCCACGGCTTGTGTGAAGCGACGTGAACAAACGTGACACTCGAACGGCCGCGCACCCGTGTGCACCACAAGGTGGCGTTTTAAACGACTCGAGAAAGAAAACTCCTTGTCGCATTTTTTACATCTGTAAACCTTCTGACCGGAGGACGTCACAAACTCCTCTGTAAGTTCTTCCTCTGTTAAACCAGTTTCCTTGGCACGCACAGGTCGACCTACATCTAAAAAGACAGTGAATCGCAAGAAAATATTATATTCTACTCCTAGACGGATACTCCTTTCAATTATTCCTCAACAGTAACTTAGAAGTTCTACTGGACGCTCCGTGTGTTTATTTTACATTTTAGAGAGAAAGAAACCATCCTTTAAAACATTCAGATCAGTGTATCTGAGTATCTGCGCACCCACCCCTCCCCTAACCCCACCTCGTTATCAGTTGACTGTTATTAGGTCGTAAGGGGGGGGGGAGGGGGCAGGTGCGAAGTTGGTTAGATACTGACGGGGATCCAGAGGGGATTGATCCAAAATTCATACAAAAAAAATAGCCGGGTCTCGATGAAATATATTCGATATTCCACTCCATTATTGTAGATGGAGAAAATTTCCCCGTTCTGTTTGTTTTTTTGCCATTCGAGAATAGTGTTTTTGTCTGTGCAGCGTCATGTGATATTTCCTTAACTAGAAAGGCAACGCAAGTAGAAGGGGGAAGGAATAATAAAGATGAACTGACGCTTTTTTTCAGATTTGCCAAGAACAGTGCTTTCGATTAGCAGCCTGGCGTTGACACACACCTCTGTCCTTAAGATGTACCACAAGTGGCGGAGGCTGTCCCAGTCCATTTTTGCTCCTCGTCATGTGCACTGGAGCCTGGGGGGAAGCAGCTGGTTGGATGGCTGTTGGCCCTCTCAACCTCGGCCCAGTCCACTGCTGGTCCACGTGTGACGAGCCAATATTGGGTGCTGGAGATGTCTGATTGGGGTGTTGGAGGGAAAGAGCTGGTACGGGATTCACCACTGTAGCGGACGGCATCTGCGCATAGACGCTGGTCGCCATAGTTGGCGGGTTCACACTATCGGCCTGTTCACTTACAGTTCCATTCCAAGAGTTAAAATTAGGCGTAGGTTGGACTACCACAGGGCTATGCGAACGAAGGGCTTCTGCAACAGAGATGCTTACAACAGGGTTGGAGAAGTCATGGAAGTTGGAGGTGGGAGGGGCTTCTATATGAACTGGGAAAGAGGATGGTGGGACGCTGTAAACTTGTTCGGGAACGACTATTGGAATATCTGGACTCACGGATTCTCCTTCAGAGGAGAAGTTGGACACTCGACGAGCGATCCCTTTTCTGTCGTGTTTCCTGCAAGAAAAAAAAAAGAGGAAGTTTACATTTAACCATTTACTCCGTAGATCCGATAGGTTGTTCTCCCTTCTTGTTGCCAACAGGTTAATAGGAGAGTTTGAAGTTACATCAAAGTAGTCCACTTCAATTTCGCTGATAATTCTCCTCGATTCCCATCACCCGTCAATAATAATTATACAGATTTAGCCAAGCCTAAGAGCGGAGCTCCCAAGTTCGTAATATTAATGATACCATAAAAGATGTGAATTTGCCAAGACTCGCCTGAGACACCCCACCCTTCGTTTTGATAGTCTCCCCACCCTACCCGCGCAATCTGAAGGCACGTACATACGTACGTACGCTCGGTCAGTCACGTGACAACCAAATGAAAAGAGGTTGACCATATTCCATGGGTATGGGGCTCTGCCCCCCACGCGCGCTTTGCGCGCGTGGGAGTCCCGCTATTAGACACTAATGTTGTAAGGAGAAATAAAATGTAAATCACTAATGTAAGCCAAAGGGGTAAGGCACTTTCAAGAACATGGTCCTTTGGCACTTTGAAAGAATGATCTAAAACATTTAGCCTTATTTTTGCTCTTCAGGCTTTTAGCGATTCTTTCGAGAGACTATTTTAATGAAGTAAATAGAATTAGGGTAAAACAAAATAGTATCGGAGCCTAGTTAATCAAACATCATCCTATAGTTGAACAACTTTTGGAATTATTTTGAGGAGGAATTTAACGACGACTTCTTAGTGGATAAAAATTTCAGTGGATAATATTTCAGTTTAGCGGATAATATTTCAGTTTACCTGAAATATTATCAGACCAACTTACCTTCTTGTGGGACTGTGAATGGAGCTATTTTCATCAGGACTGTCGAAAACCTGCAGAAAAACGTGATGAAAATTAGTAATTACGCAGACAAATGAAACAGTGATCGGGCGAAAGTAAGAACGAACGAACAACAAAAAAACAACCAAACGACGAGGAAGAAATCGAGAGGACGAAGGAACACTGAAAGGTACGAAAGAATAAAGGATATAGGTTTCTAAAGAAACGGTGGTGCTGCGTCGGTGGAGGTATCACAAGAATGATTCGGTTTATCAACTGAATTGATAATGTAACTTGGCCACCCAGCTGTAACTGTTTCCAGCTTTAGCCAGTCGTCAGAGCGAAAAAATGAATCAACGGATGAATGAATGAAAGAGCAAATTCAAATGGATAGGAATACGAAAGAACGAACGAGTGGTCTTTTTTTTTTCAGACTCATCATCAGCCTTTTACCGATAACATTTATCGGACCACTTAGTCATTATCTACCGTTATCACCTCTCCGTTCGTAACAGGACTGATTGCATTTGTCTGTCCGTGAGTTTGAAGCTGAATGCAATCCTTGGCTGCTTTGTGTTTCAGGTATTTCTGTAAGCTGGTAAACATTCGTTTGCATTTCCCACACTGAAATAGGTCTGGTTCACTTTCCTCCCCCTCGGACTCATGCCCTGCCAAGAAAATTTTATTTACACATTTACGAAATATATTACTTACAACGCATAAACTCCATAACACAAATTCCACAATACATCACGTATAATCGGTTTTACACCGAGTTTGTGATTATATGGAGTCGCTTTTTTTCTACATTTTTTTTTTTTTTTTCATTCAATTAGAGAAGAAAACGAACGTATAAGCGCAACAAGCATAATGACTATAACAGTTCGCGACTAGGAAATAGATTTATTTCATTTCGGTCTAAATGTGTGTCATACATTTTCTGATGAAAAACTTCTGGTGGTCGTTGAAAAGGAGGAGAAGCCTGGATACAAGGCTTTCCAGTCATTTGATTTACATACCAGAGAAATAATTAGTCACCTATCTATCACATACATACAGTGGAATCCCGATTTCTCGAACCCTCGGTTTCTAGAATCTCCCGATATCTCGAACCAAACCTTGTTTCCCATGGATTTGCTTCGCTTGCAATTTCACCCCCGATTTCTCGAACTCCCGATTTCTCGAACTCCCGATTTCTCGAACTCCCGATTTCTCGAACTCCCGATTTCTCGAACTAATTTGCGTTTTCCCTGGAGGTTCGAGAAATCGGAATTCCACTGTATCAAATGCTACACTCAGTAAAAAGCGAATTGTTTGAACCTTACAGGATAGCTATAGCCTATCGATGGCTGTGGACTCAGTTTAACTGACCCTCGATAATTTCAAGATGTCCTATGCAACATCTTATCTATGATCGGTCTTTTCTTTCCTACCAATGTTGGCAGCAAACAACAATGGAAACAACCACAAAACACTAAAATAGCCTGCACGAATTACCAAAATACTTAAGTTTTTGTTGTAAATTACGATATAAATAACGTTCTGATGTCTTTTCCAAACAAAGTACCATAATTTCTGTACCACCTACCCCTACGACAACGTATCGGCAAGTGAAATACGTAGATCTTGGTTTTCTTTGGCATAATCGCTTTCGATGGTCTACTGCGAGACACCGTCATTATCATATACAAGTGTCTGGCTAAAGCGAAGAGCGAGGTGACATCTATTCTAGCCTATAATGCACTCTGGGATCGCATTTCTACTTTTCGCGAAGATGAGCCGGAAATTTAATCGACCAATCACTAGACCGTACGAACGAACGAAATCGAAAACAAAAAGTAACGTGTCCAACCCTGGTCCAACAACAGTTCTCTCTGATCGAAACATTGCATGCGATGCACAATTTCTTATTCGTATACTAATGTTTACCATCTTTGATAAGTGTCTTTGTTACCAGAGGTGAGTTACATTAACCAAAGAAACTTCTGTTATTAAAATTTCATTAAATAGCTTCTTTTTTCCTGAGGCAATTTCGAAGTAATGGTCTAAACTCTGCCTAAATTGCCAACCAGATCAGATTCAAGGGCATTTTTTTCCTTTCACTCTACAGCAGTGTGCAAAAACTGTGTTGCACTTAATATTATTGCAAAAAGAACGACATCGTTTTATTTGTCCAGATTAACGACTGGCAAAAGATTTTTCCAGGCATGAAAAGAGGCTTGAAATACCACGCGTAGAGCTGTAAGCAACTGTTCTTCTGAACAAGTTCAGTAATCTTTTTGTAGGATGGAGTTAAGAATTGTGCACAATATGGAGGAGTAGTGTAAACTGTATTTTATAAATTTTCCTTATTATTTCTGCATGTTACAGGCAGTCTAGAACTCTCCTAAATAACAATTTACTTTTTCTGACAATATTTCCGCATGTCTGATTTTTCAGGATGGTGTAATTAGTATGCTTGATTAGTAATATTTCACACTAATTCTGACCACTGTGATTTCTTGATGAGAAACAAATTCAGTTTAAATGGTTCAAGTTTCCTTGTTTGCTTCTAACACTAAGAAACTGAAAATACTAATTCTCTTATGTCCATATTTCAGTTTCTCTGACCTAACTTGCTTTGTTTTTTGTATTGCATTTGTGGGAGACATTCGTATGCTGGGTGCTAATCAGGATTTTGTTAATGTTTTTTCGAGAAGGTTAACTTGAGGGTTGGTTCCTACTATTGCTGTGGCACTTGCAGCAAAGCACCTTGAGACTTGAGCTAGCAAGAAGTCTGATAGGGTTTAGTGCAAGGGTTTTATACTGCTCAGTGCAGTCTGAAAAGTGCTAATGGATATGGTGCTATCTAACAGATATCCTTGGTTAGTATCAATCGATCTTATAAAATGAGAACCTTGGGGACATTTTGCATGCTTGCATGAAATGACAGCCCAAAATGTGCAGCTTAGCTACTCTTGTTGCAGTTCCATCAAAAGCCTGAAGACAGGCTAAGGAAGGGATTGAAAGAAAATATCACAGTTTTATCAAAGTAAATGATAACAAAATCAATAATTTAGCCTTACCTCCATTCCCAAGGTGAAACATGACATTTGAATGGTCTATACCTGAAATCTGTAAAAGTGGAAATGCAATTACTTGGAGGCTGAAGACCTATATGGCGTATGTAAGGTCTCAGAACTTAGAGATTTACGGTGACAGACTTGAACCAGTTACAACTCAGTTTATATATATTGTATATGAAACTTGTCAAAGTGTCAGAGACTGATAGTACAAATGGTTCTCATAATGCCTTGTTGTCTAGGAGTTATGTTATTGGTTTTCTTGAGATTGATAACTTCACCCTGATGTTCTTTATGATCCTTTTCCTTTAGCTATTCACATTGGTACACACTGCTTACACTCAATTGCAAAAAACATTGACCACTAATAAGCGTGATCCATGAACTATGAGACCTAGCAGCTTTATGGGAAATGCTCATGCAGATACACAGTTAGAGATTCACTTCTCTTTTATTCATGAAAAACCTTTGTTTGGATAATTCCTTTCTTCCAAGAAAGCATGCATCACTTCCATCATACACCACATGCTTATAGAAAGTGTTTATGCATATCCAGAGAGCCATAACGTCTTGCTGGTTATTATGAATGCTTGTCAGCATTTTTGCAATCTTTTGTAAGACTTTCACATACCAACAACGACTTTTGAGAATTTATGGAATGATGCAAGTGTTATAAAAGGTTTTCATAAAAGCTACTGCAGATTGTGTAACAGGTACAATTTAGCTGTTTCCTGAAAAGTAGCCTTAAGACCCCTTTCTCATAGGGGGGACTGAGAGCATGCTCCCCCAAAAACAATTTGAAATACAGATGCTTGGGAATGAAATTTACAGCATTGTGTGCATCAAAGGGAGTGCTCGTAGGCTAAACATACGGTAGTGAAAGTTGTTAAAGGCAGCAAGAGATCACAAGTAACCAGATTTTGTCAAAACCCCTGTAGTGCTTGACCACCCACCAGAATATTTCTATTCCCTCATATGGTGCAAGGAATGCCTTCAGTTTTTATGGTTAGTATTCCCCACTTATAAACTCAATTTTAAGTATTTAACCAAAACTTGCCAGCATATTCAGCATTATCTTAAAGTACAATATTCATCTCTGTCAAACGTGTGAGAGTCATAAAGCAGAATTTGCAATCATTTTAGCTCCATAGCTATATACAAGTTGCCAAATTCAAGATATTAGGTCAAAAGAACTGCTAGTCGATTGTTCTATGGTTAAGTACCTAAATTTGCCATTTCTTTGTTGGCATGTATGTTTGTGAAGGAATTTTAGCCCTCTTGTTAGGATCATTTTGCATAATGTTTATCTTCAGGTCACATGAATTCCTTTATGGGAAAGAAGAACCCTTTAACATTGCCTCCCAATGTCTGGCTTTGTTGCTCAGTCGGTGGTCGTGCTCAATTAATATCTGGGAGACAGGAATTTGAATCCTATTAAAACATGAATTTTTTGCAGTCTACTATTAAGAATCATTTCTTTGCTATTTCATTTGTAGGTCAAATGAGTTATCAAATAAACATTATTTCTGTTTTGATACTAGTCATTAAAATACGTTTGTAATCTTTAAAGTCATCCACTTAGTGTGTTCTTCACATCTCTGAATCCTTTCTCAACTTCAGGAATTCCAATGATTTTATGACTGTTCCATGTATTTTATCAGTTGCTTTTTTTTTAACTGTGGTTCACTTTTTGTTATCTTGTTATAAAACCTTTTTTACTGAGTAATTTCAAAGTAGAGCAGCTTACTTCTGTGTGGCTCAGTTTATTATACCCTAAAATGAGGTTCTAATGTGATATGAGGTTCTGATGTGAGCTTCTATGTGATACAGTTTACTGTAACAGGGTTCGACACTAACGGTAGCCCACTAGCCACAGACTAGTAGAAATTCTGTCTTGGCTAGTGTATTTCAATTTCAACTAGCCAGTTTGGCTAGTAAACAGATTGAAATTGTCATAACTTCTAAAAACATCTAGAAGATGTCACTAGCCACTTGGCTAGTAAATTGAAAAGTTAGTGTCAAGCCCTGCTGCAAAAGAAGGTTCTAGCTTCAAAGTTCTTGGATGACACCCTTTTAGGTACCATCCAAATGAAAAAAACTGAGTAGTTCTTTCATGTAATGTTTATCCCTTTTTTTTTTTTATCCTAAAATCTCATTAGTAATTTTCCTTGCTGTCTGTTAAACTACCCATATGATGTTAGTGCAGAAATTTAGTATTGGATGAACCAATTATACCCCTAATTGACATTTTTCTTTATTCCCACCACTTGTCTGCTTGATGTTATATTGATATTGTAAGGAGAAATTCTGTCTTGGTCACTGTTGGGAGTTGGAGGGTTAATTTTGCCTTAAGTGGTCCTATACCTATAAGTCTGAATGAAACCGTAGTGTGTAATGATTCAACTGAGCGGAACTGGCATTTTTTTTTTTTTTTTGTGGAAATAACTCTTGAATGACAACAATGCACCATTTTAAGAGAAATCTCTGAAGTTTTGTGTTATGTCATTAAGTTAGAATACCCAATGGTGTTGCGTTGTTTGGGGATTTTTAGTTTTATAATTTTACGGATATGACATGGTGTATTCTGAACTGTATTGAATGAAATCTTTCGAACATTATTTCCATGTGATATACCTGGTTTGTCATTCATTATATACAAAGTTTTCTAGTCCTCCATAACTGAGTTAGCATAAGTTCTAGCTGCCTAACGTAATCAATTAAATGAATTCTGTTGACTACCTACGAAGTTTGTTGTATGGTTAATTTACTGTTTATTGGTACAGGAAAGAGATTGTAAAATTATTGTTAGTGAACATATTTACTGAATTGAATTCTGTTGACTAGCTACAAAGTTCCTTGTATGGTTAATTCCTTGTTTATCGATACAGGAAAAAAAGAAAAAAATGATCTTTGTGTGTATGTGATAATTTTCTCAATTGTCATAACTGTTTGTTTGTAAAATAGGGTATTTGCTATTAAGACCTCGAGTAATTCGGAAAAAAAGGTTAGGTACAGTCAGTTGTGTACATTATTGACTGCAGAACAGGACAAGAAATTTTACTTCAAAACAACCATATTTTACCTTGAAAACTTTTCCCCCTCCATAGATTATCCTGTTAACTTCTTCATCTGTGTAATATTTGTGTCAGCACTTACATTTTTGCCATCAACTAACATGAAAATGAGATTTGTAGCAGCGATACACACAGCTGGCTTTTCTAGACTTCGTTGTCTCACTAGGTACCCTCAAACAGTATAAAAGTTTAACTGTGCAGGCCAGTTCTCATTGGGGACAATGGTTGCTAGTTGTGAAGACAAATTAAAAGTGAGAGTAATTTGCCAAAAAGAGAGGTAGGGAACTGAGTGCTCAAAAGGACTTGAATTTCCATAGTTTTCTATTTCTTTACCCTATTGCATGTTAATCTTACTAATAGAAAATAAAAAAGCAGCAGCAACAACTTCTGGCCTTTAGGGGCTACATCATAGACCTACAAGTCTAGACAATTTTGCAGATATACAGACATGGCTTAAAGTGTGACACTAATCCTTTTTACCTAAACACTCGAGCTCTCATAAGATAAATTATATGTCTATAGCTGTTATCTCCGAAAAGAATCAATCTTATCTGAACAGAAGTTATATGTAGCTAACACACCTAAATTGATAGAGCTATATTAGTCTAACTGGACTGAAGACAAAAACAATTTAAGATGTATGTTAATTTATATTCCAAGACCTGACACACACACTTGACATTTATTCTGTTGTATTAAAATTCCATGGTAAACCAAGATCTATTTGCAGTAGTGTTATATTCTCTTTATTCCTCTAGTGGTTGACATTGTTTTTACGTCTCCTCTAAAATGTAATAACTAGAGTTTCAAAAGTGGAAAAAGTTGAGAAAAAGAAAAAATTAAAATGCAGTGGGAAGAAAATGAGGAAAGCCAAAACTTGTGTGTGACAGGTGAGAAAGGTAAGCAATTCTCTTTTTTTTTTCCAGACTCAACAATCAACAAGGTTAAAATGTTGTAATAAACTATTAAAGAGATAATACATAGAGCTGCCAAATTTCGAGTCCCCCTGAAGTATAGCAAAATTTCTAGGAACCTTTATCTGGACACTGCTGTTTCACTGACCTTAACCTACATAAATTGATGCCAAAAATATTTCAAACTGGTGCGAGCCATAATTTATTTGCCGTGTTTATACACCTGGACGTACCATATTAAGTATTAAGGTGCAAACAACATTTAATGCGAGAAAAACAACGTACAAAGTATGCCTCAAGTTAAACGTTCAGAAGAACGTGCAAAAATCTTTAACACGTAGATAACCTCCGTCGTGTGATCTGGGAAGGAGTCGCTTATATAAACCGCAATAACAAATAACAAAAAATTTAAAAAAAAAAAATTGTCGTTCAAGAGACATACTTGTAGCCAGACAGTTTTAATGAGTTTCACGGCTTGGAACATTTACATATCATGTTAACAAGGATCGTATTGCGTGTGTCCTATCATCTTTAGGGACACATGAGCAACAATGATTTCTGTGTGCAACGCGAAGATATTCTCCTGTACGTAGATATCAATTAACCGAAAAATGTTTCCGATATCCCACACCATTGAAAACACGTGCAATAACGAAGTCACGGCAAGTTCTTAGACTATTTTCGACCTCTATCCAGGATCTCTCTCTTTCTCTTTGAAACGTCCGGAATTATTCTTCACAAGCGCAAGTATTGTCAAATAGCAGGCTTCCTGACAGAAAACCGCAGTGGAGTCTTCGATTTCAACGGCGGCGAAGCGCGAACAAAGCAATAAAGCTTTATTATAGTGTACAAGTTTATTGAAATTCGTATGTAAATTTGTACAAAAATAACAAAGCTCTCGAATACAGAACCAACCAAGCGACAAAAGTGGAGGTAAAATAAACTCAAGGATTACAGACTTTCGAAACACTGGTTTCTCACCACGAAGTACACATATTGTACTGTACCAGCGACTGATTTATCGCTCTGTCGTTTAGACGGAAATGTTACTACAAAATGTTTCCCTCGAGGTAAAGCGATTGGTAAATACTATTTCTCTGTCTCCTATAAAGCCCTTTGACATTCAGGGGCCGGGTTTAATGGCAGTTTACCAATAGGAGGTATTTGAAATACGCCATTCATTTCACACATTTACATGCAAGCGTGCTTATCATCAACTACAAAGGACAAGCATCGTGTTTTCTCTAACGAAGACACGAAACTCTAAATTCGACAAAGTACCGACTAAAATTGCTTCAAACCGCGAAAAGCCTAAACAGATTACAGGTTTTAAGTTCTCCGACGTCTTTCTGGTGCGAATTTTCGCACAGTTGAACAATAAAGTTACCTAAGCTAATCATGCATACCAAACAGCATGTCAGTCGAAACAACACGCAAGGGCCAGGCAGTGTTAAAACAAGCGACGCCTAAGAAACTCGGTTAAAATTAAACATCGCACTCACCAGCATAAAGCTGTTTCGTCTCCCGTTCGGCTGCTCCTTAGAAAGCTTCGAAATTATCGTCTCCAGGTTTTGTCTAGAGGAGAAAGCGAAATCATTAAAATTACAATCAATTTTCACACCAAACACATGTGCGTGCTAACAATCCATTCAGCGAGGCGCCAACAGAAGTATATCTCACAAACAGCGTGCAATGCTTAGTTACGCTAAAACCACGCCAAAATTACCCCTTTCTCGTTTCTCCAAATTCTCCCATCACAATCCCTGGTCGAATGGTCTTCGCTGTTGTCAAAGCATCAAATTTGGTGAACTAAATACGAGATTATTGTTAGCGGCGAAAGGTCAACATGTCTAATGCCTCCACCATCTTTGCATTCCTGGTCGTTCTAACTGGAACCCTGGTCAGCGGTTGCCCCTCGTCACGCGAACTTGACACGCAATCGACACGGAGAGGTGATAGACTGGGTCAAAGTCACGCAAACGTATCTTTCGTCGATCACGTTTTTAATCGCGAGAAAAACGTTTTCCTCCGTAAAAGTTTTCAGGAAAGTTATGCCTATTTAATAACTGTGCTAATATCATCCAGACCGATAAAAAGTGTTTCTTCTGTTGCTATATTTGGGGCGGTCGTATGTGCGTGATGGCTCAGTCTTTTCTTGTAGAGGAGATCACGCAATTATTAACATAAATTGACATGACAAAGTAGGGGAAAAATAAACACGAAAACGTAATGAGCGGGTTAAAAGCACAAAATTCGTGACCAACTTAAGAAAATCTATCTTTTGTTTTTGGAGCTGTTCCGAAATTGATATAATAAAATCAATTTCATAATTATTGTTAGTACCGAAGGAAAAAAACAACTTTTTGACCAGATTTTCTGGTCACAAGACGATCGTGGGCGACACGAGTCTCCGCTTTTGCCTTACGGATGGGTCGTGACAAAGGAAGGACTAAAATTTGACATCGCACTTTGAACAGGAAACTTTTGACATTACCAATGGACTAGATTGTGAGATTTTTTTTACGCGCTCACGCACACAGGAGGTGATCAACTTACAATAGCTCAGGTACAGAGAGGATTCTAGAAACCTAATAATTTTTAACTCTCGGCATAATTATTGAAAAGGTTTAGTTTTCCTTGGTGTACCGTTACATTATAAAAGGTTTCTCTCCTAGACACCCCATGATAGTCATGTCATTAACATTTTTGTTTTCCCATACGAAATTAAACCGGCATTGGAAAAGTCGTCATGAATAATTGATATTTCCGATTTGTCATACAAAGTACAATTGTGCAAAAATTGTGGCCTTAAAGTTATGTTTTTCTTTTGTGATTTTTTTTCTATGATTTTAAAGACCGCAGCGACCTCGACGTTCTATTTATTAAATTAATAAATCAATTAATGTTTCAAAAAGGGAAAATTAAAATTGTGTGAAACTTTGTCGCTTCGACTTGTCCAAATTGTGCTGTTCTCGAGAATTTCTTTTAAAAAATAAAAAACTAAAAAATTAGCAATTCAAAAGATTAAAACCTAAACTAAAACAGCTTTGACGGTACTGAATTTCTCCGTGAACTTAAGAATTAACATTTACAACACTCGTTAATTTTTTCATTAAAAAATGAACGTACAAAAATTCGTTATCAGATACAGTCCAAAAATACTAAAAAGACGAATAAACCTACAGCATTACAATATTACAGTTAAGTTACAACATTAAAATTTAGTAAAAAAAACTCTAAACTTGCAAATGAATTTCAGTTTCAGATCTTTGCGTAAATTTAACTTTGCAGGAGGTTGAGAGTCGTTTGGTTGAAATAAATTATTTCCTTAATTTTCACTCCGATGAATGAAAGAAAATGACGATATTTCACAAACAAATATTTATTCAAAACTATGAATTTAACCTGAATATCGAGGCGCTAATGCGAAGAAGGGACACACATTTTGAATTACTTTTACGGCACACTTAATGCTAAAGAAATCACTTGGTTGCTGTTTATTAATAAGAGAGGTTTTTTTTAAGATATGAGCTAAATTCAGTACTCAATTTTCCACGCTGTATTCTTTGAAGGAGATGGAATCCGTTGAACTGTCTTGTCACGCTGATCAGCTTACGCAGTGAGCCTTAATTAAGATTGAATGGCACTTCCAAACAAAACCATTTGCTATTATGTGAGTCTAGTGAAATTGAGTTAAAGTTTGGGGAAAATAGTCGATCCGTTTGATCAGAGCTTATCCTGGTGTATATAAAACGAAGCGACTGCGAGTAATGCTATTCTCCCCAAAGATAAGAGTCTGGTTCATCGCAATCTATTCCCCTCTCCTTCCGTCTCCAGCACTTTGTCCCATTCCCCTGACAGTTCGCTGGGTAATGACAGCCACATTGACAGCTTAGTTTATTGCACAAGAGCACAAAATTTAAAGGGGTGCTCGAGATATCGATGCCTTTGGGAAAAAAAAAAAACAGAAAACGAAAGAAAACAGTATTACAGTCACGCGCATTTACTTGCACAACAACCTTTATTGATTTCAAATCAGAGTAAGTAGAGTTAACATCTATAGTTGCACGTTTTACGGCAGCTGATTCTCACAGCGTGTACCCTACATTGTCGTTTATAACGTTGACAATGTTCCGTACCCCATCGGTCGAAACAAGCTATGAGATAGAAAATAAATTTTCTTGTTTTAGTCTCAACTCGAAGTTATAATTATAACGCATCTCGAAAACGATCAATTGACGAAACTAGCATAAACCGCAAAATACATAGGTTGAAGGGCCGTTATTTGTCGCCGGAGAGGGGAGGGGGGGAGGATATTGGTTGTGTCATCATAAAATCTAATAATAATGATAGTAATAATAATGATATTTATATAACGCCTATCCAATGATAGATCTAGGCGCTTAACAAAGTGAGACGAAATATAAAATTAAAGTTAATCAAAGTAAATAAACTTAAAATTGAAGTAAAAACATATGAAGTCTATTTCCTAATGGTTAAAGTAAAAGTTCTCAAAAAGGTAGGTTTTAATTTTATGCTTAAAAAGATTTAAGTTCTCGCATGAGCGTATGTTGTTGGGTAATTTGTTCCAGAGTTCAGGGGGCTGAAACGGAGAATGCCCTAGAGCCACAAGGCCTTAAGGTTAAAACTAATAGGATTCAGATTGAGCGTAGAGGATGAACGAAGTGATCTAGAAGGCGAGTAGTGAGTGATAAGGTCTTGAATGTAGATTGGAGTTTTCCGATGCAGTGCTTTGAAAGTAAGTGGTACAATCTTGAATTTAATTCGTTTAAAAACAGGTAGCCAGTGATCCCTTCTAAGGCTCTGTAGGATGCTAATGATCTCGCCGCATTTACAGTCAATTTTTCCCCTTCATACTCAATTAGCGACGAATGATCCCCCTTCGTTTCCGCTAAAGCCATGTGATCCCACAAAAATCCTCTCAAGTCCCCTCCCCTACCCCTTCGGCGATAAATGTCGATTGGTTCCTTACTTAGCCAGTCAACTACAGCCTATTGAGATCGTTCGAAATAGAGAAACATCTCTAGTTTTCTTCATAACGAGTTATTTTATTTTTATTTTTTGTATTGCTTGGCAAAGTCTCCATTCAAATATATATAGTGGAGGGAAGTGTTGAGGTCACGTGAGTGGGTGCTTGCTGCACAGGAGGGTAAAACGAATTATTTAAAAAAAATGATTGTACAGAATTTGGGTTTAAAACAGCTGCTGCGTGAAATGTGAAATAATAGTGTTACTTACGTCGTTTTGTGGGTGGAGGTGGTGTTGGAGCACATCCTTGTCCGTAACCTAATCGACGAGAAAGGGCTTATCAAAATAAGAAAAAAAAAAAAAGGAAATGGCTTTTGTTTAATAAATTAAAGAATGAAAGAAGGAGGGAAGGAAAGGAGGAGAGAGTTAATGAATGAGAGAGTGGACGAGTGAATGCATGAGTGAGTGAGTGAGTGAGTGAGTGAGTGAGTGAGTGAGTGAGTGCATGAGTCTGTGAGTGAGTGAGTGAGTGAGTGAGTGAGTGAGTGAGTTAGCGAGTTTAACAATGAATAGATGAATAGTTGAAGCATTGAATGGATGAATCAGTTGACGAAATAAAGGACGTAGGAATGCATTAATACATCATGAGTTAAATAATAAATGGGTGACTGTAAAAATAAATGGATTGATATCTAAATTAATCGAAAAACGAATAACTAAGTGAGTGGCTTGACGATATTCTTTTTTTTTTTATTTTTCCATCGGATGACTCACTTTGCTCTTGTTTGGTTTGGCAAGACATTTTGATTCTGGTAATTCAGTCTCGAGTAAAATTAAAACTAAGATATTGTGATATCAAAACTGCGATGAAAATTTAAAATGAAAAATACGCCAAACCTCCCATGGCGATTTTATGATTGATCCAATCTACATAGGAGCTAACGCGGGTGAACACGCTGTAAGTGGTCTCCGCTTTACACCCAGGACGTCCCCAGCTCACAGCCCCATGAAGAACAAATTGCCCATTTTCTTCACAAACAAATGGACCTCCACTGTCTCCCTGGCAGCCACTGACCACATTTCCCGCTATCGCATATCCAGCGCATACCATGCTGTGTTTATCCACTGGCGCAATATCTTTGTTGGCCACTGCGCATGTCTGATGATCCACCACTGGCATGATAGCTTGTTGAAGGATTTTTGCTGGTTTTCCACCACCGATGGTTCTACCCCAACCTACAAAAAATGTCCTAAGCTTGCTTGGTCTTAAAAATAAAACACGAATTCTTCGATCGACAAACTAAGTAACAATCTCTCATGGCAAGCACAGCAAGTTAAAGGACCCTTAAGTCATAGATAGCCCTTTCTTTCACTTGTGATGCTGGGAGATCATGAGGAAAACTTGTAAATCATTCGCCTCTGACTCATGATTTACAAACTGTTGTCGTGTTCTCCCAGCATCACAACAGGGTTATGACGTCAGTCAACTGACAGGAAGAGTAGTCTCAATCAATCAATCAATCAATCAATCAATACTTTGTTTACCCACGTAGCGTCAAGGAGCTCATAGAGCTCGTTCAAAATACGTACGTGCCTCTAAGATTAAGAATCTGAAAAAAACCTAATACATACTGTCAAGACCTAATTGATTTGTACAGTAAAATTCAAAGTCACTCAAATACAGGTATAAAATGGTGAAGTAATCGCTTAAATAATTTAAAATTAAGATTAAAAATTAAGTTTGTACAATGAAATTCAAGAGACACTTAAATACAAGTATAAAATGGAGAAGCAGTTAAAGTTTCAATGTTCTCAATAGCTTCTTAAAAAGGTTGATATTATTGGCCAGTTTTACACTTGTAGTTAATCCATTCCGCAGCTGCGCACACATATAAGTGAAAGATTTTCTCATGAAATTTAAATTAAATTTAGGTCTACTGCTTTTGGTTATGATGAATATATGAACTTCATATATTTTGAACNCCTTCGCAGTAAAGCACTATTTAAGCAATAGTGAAAATCAGACCTGAAAAAAATTCAGGCCTGTACGGGATTCGAACCACTGACCTCTGCGATACTAGTGCAGCGCTCTACCAATTGAGCTAACAAGCCAACTGGGAGCAGGCCATCAAATTAATTCGACATAAACCCGTAGATGATAAATCAAACAACAAACATATGAAATACATATATATGAACTGCGGTTATGAAACGTATATGTGCACGATCCTTCGCAGTAAAGCACTATTTAAGCAATAGTGAAAATCAGACCTGAAAAAAATTCAGGCCTGTACGGGATTCGAACCACTGACCTCTGCGATACTAGTGCAGCGCTCTACCAATTGAGCTAACAAGCCAACTGGGAGCAGGCCATCAAATTAATTCGACATAAACCCGTAGATGATAAATCAAACAACAAACATATGAAATACATATATATGAACTGCGGTTATGAAACGTATATGTGCACGATCCTTCGCAGTAAAGCACTATTTAAGCAATAGTGAAAATCAGACCTGAAAAAAATTCAGGCCTGTACGGGATTCGAACCACTGACCTCTGCGATACTAGTGCAGCGCTCTACCAATTGAGCTAACAAGCCAACTGGGAGCAGGCCATCAAATTAATTCGACATAAACCCGTAGATGATAAATCAAACAACAAACATATGAAATACATATATATGAACTGCGGTTATGAAACGTATATGTGCACGATCCTTCGCAGTAAAGCACTATTTAAGCAATAGTGAAAATCAGACCTGAAAAAAATTCAGGCCTGTACGGGATTCGAACCACTGACCTCTGCGATACTAGTGCAGCGCTCTACCAATTGAGCTAACAAGCCAACTGGGAGCAGGCCATCAAATTAATTCGACATAAACCCGTAGATGATAAATCAAACAACAAACATATGAAATACATATATATGAACTGCGGTTATGAAACGTATATGTGCACGATCCTTCGCAGTAAAGCACTATTTAAGCAATAGTGAAAATCAGACCTGAAAAAAATTCAGGCCTGTACGGGATTCGAACCACTGACCTCTGCGATACTAGTGCAGCGCTCTACCAATTGAGCTAACAAGCCAACTGGGAGCAGGCCATCAAATTAATTCGACATAAACCCGTAGATGATAAATCAAACAACAAACATATGAAATACATATATATGAACTGCGGTTATGAAACGTATATGTTCACGATCCTTCGCAGTAAAGCACTATTTAAGCAATAGTGAAAATCAGACCTGAAAAAAATTCAGGCCTGTACGGGATTCGAACCACTGACCTCTGCGATACTAGTGCAGCGCTCTACCAATTGAGCTAACAAGCCAACTGGGAGCAGGCCATCAAATTAATTCGACATAAACCCGTAGATGATAAATCAAACAACAAACATATGAAATACATATATATGAACTGCGGTTATGAAACGTATATGTGCACGATCCTTCGCAGTAAAGCACTATTTAAGCAATAGTGAAAATCAGACCTGAAAAAAATTCAGGCCTGTACGGGATTCGAACCACTGACCTCTGCGATACTAGTGCAGCGCTCTACCAATTGAGCTAACAAGCCAACTGGGAGCAGGCCATTAAGTTGACTCGTAATAAACCCGTGATGATAAATCAGATATGATGAATATATGAACTTCATATATTTTGAACTGCGGTTATAGATACGTATAATGCACGAACCTCGCAAAAGCGCTCTCTACTGCGGGGATCGTGCATCATACGTATCTACTGCTTTTATAAAACAAACCTGAAGCAAAAACATCGATTGCTTCAATTTTTTTATGGGTTCACTGGTGGAGATACTCGATAGGAGTTTGAAAAGATGTGATTGGTGTTTGACCGATCAGGGCTCTCGTAGTGTCTTCGTTATTCTATAAGGAATGATGTTGAATATCGGCAGTTTTATACTTCATGCATTAGCAATTAGCCCTTTTTCAATAATATGAACTCGAGAAGTATCCATGTAAGGGCCTTTCACGAACGCAATAAGGCGTTTCAGTGTTTCACCTCCTTCTCGGAAATTGACGGTACGGAAAATTAGATTTTTACAGGCGAGGGTGGCTTTTCCAACTTGAGAGTGTTTCCAGTTTTCTATGGGATTCTCTTTCGTTCCCTTCTGATAAAGTACAACAACCCGGTAACTTTGCAAGGATTGTATTCATAAACTAAGTTTGAGACTTTGATTGGCTACCTGTTATGTAACACTTGGTTCCGGTGGGAACCTGTTGACCTTCCTGTGGTAAACAAACTGTGTTGATCCTGTCACTCAGCTCTACAGGTTTGGCGAGAGTGAGCAGGGCGATGTCGTTTTGTATATGTTCCATAGAGAATTCCTCGTGATAACAGACGGAAGTCACGTCTATAACTTTTTCTACATCTTCTTCTACAGTCTGATCATGTTCACCTAAAGAAAAAAAAGAAAAAGAAAAAAAGAAAAGAAAGAGAGAATAAAGAAGAAAGTGGAAAGAGAAAAGAGGAAAGAGAAAAAAGGAAAGAGAAAAAAGAAAAGAGAAAAGAGGGGAGAGAAAAGGGAAAAGAGGAAAAAGAAAAAAGAAAGAGCAAAGAGCAAAGAAGAAAGAGGAAGGAGGAAGGAGTAGGAGGAAAGAGGAAAGAGGAGAGGGAAAAGAGAAAAGAGAGAGGGGGAAACAGGAAACAGGAAAGAGACACGAGACAAGAGATAACGAATAAAAGAAAGACAAAAGAAACTTAAAAAGAAAAAAATCACATGAAGTAATGAGGAAATATGAATTCCTTCAGATGGATGGCGTAGGGACGGTGCGAGTAAACCGAAATACCAAAAATACTACGCCCACACAGATTTCTGAGGTGAGGCGCTTAACACAGTCTTGAACGCAAATTCTTCAACGGACGTCCAAGTCTCAGTTACTCTTTATTTTATCATTTTGGACCAAGAAACACCATTCATATTCCTGGCACCGTAAAAAAATTCTACTCCTTTCATAAACTACATAAATACATCCCATAATTTCCATACTCAGTGTCTTTTAAAGTAACCCTTCAGCTGAACCCTCTCACATTTGTCAACGACGACCTCACAAGTTATTACGGGTAAAAACAGCAAACACATGATTTCCCAACCCAAGGTAATCATCTTATATGAAGTGTTGTTTAAGGACGACACTCAGCTTACCTACTACAACTTTGCAACGACTCGGAGCGGCATTTTTCACGACACAGTGCGCTGCGGTGACAACATGCGTTGGAGAAATAAGAGATCCTCCGCAAATGTGATACAGCTTTCCTCGCACTTTGACCCTCAAAGATATCTGCCAAGGCCAGGAATTCGGCTCAGCGTCTATTCCACCAACCACACGTGTAGAAATCGGTCGCTTACCGCATCGTGCGGAAAGGAGAGTAGAACGATGACGGTTTATGAACTTAGACACCTCACAGTGAGGTAATGGGGTATAAACCGTCAAGCCATCCATTAGAATCTTTCTCCGAAAATAGATTTATTAAGGTCAAGTCTTCTTGCGCGCGTGTACTATCATTTTCCTTTGGGCCTTTTAGGATTCCTCTCGAAAACAAGCTTCTAATGATATGACAAAAGCGCCACTGTCCTGACAAAGATATTTTATTGATCATCAGAGATTAAATTAGATAGCCAGGTTTGTAAAGATGGTGCAGCGAGAACTAATATCAATTACAGCCAGATTATTTATAATTCACTGAGGAAATGATAAAATCATGCATTATTCTGATGATTACAAGTAAAGCCGTTTAATTCTGACAACTTTTCTATCTACAATTCTTAAGGGTAATTTTGATTTTATCGAATGAGTGAAACGTCAGCTTTACCGTGAAACGTCAGCTTTACCGTGAAACGTCAGCTTTACCGTGGCCAATTTTTCCGGTTCACAACATTTTGATCACTGCGATGACGAATATCGTTGTCGATAAGAGTACAGGCCACGATAAACCAATATCGATTTGTTAATCGTAGAGAAACAACATTTGGGTTTCTAGGTCTCCAAAATCTAGCCTAAGTGTCTCATGCTTGTTACAGTGGAATCCCGATTTCTCGAACCCTCGGTTTCACGAAGCTCCCGATATCTCGAACCAAACCTTGTTTCCCTTGGATTTGCTTCACTTGTAATTTCACCCCCGATTTCTCGAACTCTCGATTTCTCGAACTCCCGATTTCTCGAACTCCCGATTTCTCGAACCAATTTGCGTTTCCCCTGGAGGTTCGAGAAATCGGAATTCTACTGTATTTGCATTTCATGTTAACCTCTTCTCTCTTGCACCTGGCTCTTTCAGTTGCGGGTTAAATTTCGCGTAAACTATTTTCCGTAGGTTTAATTGTACAGAACGACAAACTCGAAAGATTCAATAACAATTGGACATAAAACGGAGTAGTTTCGTTAAACTGGCAATTTTAAAGGCTATTCAAAGAAATCACTCTTTACCTTGATTTCCATGGGCAAAAGTTAACCCAGAGAGCAAAAATACCACAGAGAGCATCACCGAACCCATCCTAATGCAAAGTCTTTGGCGCCAGCAAACTCAGTTTAAGCGAAGGGACGCGCTTTCTCTTTCAACACATGAAGTATGGCCCTCGAGCAAGCTAACATCTGCTCTATGATACGTTGTGCTATAACGTATCCTAACAGCAGATGTCAAATTTACCGCGAGTGGGAGCAGATTTCTAAGCACACCTGGACTATAGCTGTACCCTTGAAGTAAACACTTCAACCTGAAGATGCTCTTCACCTCATTTATTCGCTATTTCTTTTGTTCTTTCTTTTTTCTTTTTTTTTTTTTTCTTTTTTTATCATTTTTGGACTTGAAAAGCAAGAGACAAAACTATGGGTACCAAGAAAGGAAGAAACGACTGCAATGCTCGGAAGAACCCACATTCTCGCTTTGGATACAAGAAATGTGAGTTAACTTTGCCCGGTTTATTCTTTGACATGACTAATATTTTAACAGCTGCTGCAGACCTTCAATGTTTTATTTTTCTGTTTTTATCATATTTTTAGTGATAAAAACAATTTTTCACATATCTAAAAAGTAAAAAGAAAAAGAAAATGTACTCTTTACTTCTTTGTATTGAAATTCTATGGTAGGTCACATTTCACTCAGGGCCATAGCCAGACTTCAGAATAAGACGAGGCAAGTTTCGGGTCTGGCATGCCTCCCCCAGAAAATTTTGAAATAATGCTCTTACAAGCATTTTCCGTAGCACTTTTCTTTAGAAAAGTCAATCTTGGGAAAGTGTAGAAGTTCACTTTTTTATTGCCGAGCGATACTGGTGCAAAAAAAAAAAAAAAAGGAAAAGGCCAAAATCAAGACGAAGCAATTGCCTAGTCTTGCCTCATGCTAGCTACGGCCCTGTCACTGTAACACATAATTGCGGTAAGGTCGTCCACTTGGGACTTGTACTGGCAGACGACCCTGACTTGTATATTTTATTGGATTCAATGTCGACCTCTTTCGCTAAGCTTTACAAGCCTGCTCTCATTTACTAAATTATCGCCCTAGATAATTGATTATTCCCCCTTATCGGAGGGGTATCTTTAAAGCCGGGATATCTACCACTTCGAATTTCAAGCAAGACTTGTTTACCTTTAGATTAAATTTGAACCAATCTTAAAAGAAAATGCCCCGACCCCCACATAAGCTTCAACATCAGCCACCCCTCCCCATCATTCAAAGCAAATCCCTAAAAAATTCACGATCACTATTGTGTAGCTTTTTATTTCAAATTTTTCTCTTTAATTTTATTCCAAAGTTCACCCCTCCAGGAAGGAAAGAACATTAATCAAATGTAACAACGAGAAATCTTTTGAATTTTTTTATGTGGACTTTTGAATTACAGTGCGAGAATCTGAGTTCTTCTACTTATCAAATTAGTGGTAAACACCACAGCGTACACTATTGAGTTATGGTTACACGCGGGAGGTTGCTAAGCACGAAAGAAACGTAACAGTCGCGCGAGGTGATAGCCGAGAGCTTCTTGAGGGCTTAGCAAACCTCCCAATCAGAGCGCACGCTTTACTTTTGTTGTGTTATCAAATAAATCATGCATTGGGTCTCGTTTTATGTTATGGTTGTATTCCGCTCTTCTATTACTTTTGCTTCTGATTTTTTTGAGAGAGCGGTACGATTTTTCTGGAAGACTTAAATAACAGAATAAAGCAAAATAATGCAGTTTTAAGTCCTATATGACGCTCGGTTGAGATTTTCTCCATGCGTACACGTTTCTTTGAAATGTTCGAGGGTGAGATAAAATGGCAATGATAAGTACTTCATTTAGCTTATCACAAGACAGCGTGCTTTAACTGAGCAAAGTTTAATCTCGCTGTACAGATGAGTTTGATCGTCTCGCAAAGAAAAAAATCCCCAAAAGATAAATGCAAACTACCAGTCTTCTTCGGCACTTCTTATAGCAGGGCTTGAGGATGACGTTTACGAAGGACGCTAAGCTCAAAACTTTTAATTTTTTCCGCACGCACTAAACTATTTGTGACAACGTTTGTGTGTCAGTTTGAGTACGATATGTCTCATTGCATTTATGAGGGATAAGATAAGGAAGTAGCAGCGTCAGAAACATTTCTTTCAGTCCGCCTGAATAAGGTTTCTGCTTAAACAGCCAGCTAAGTTCTACTTATAATAGCATAGTTTGTTAGCTCACACTTCAGTCTCCACGGGGTTTAATCCCGGCAGCCCCTGTGCTTATGGTGGAATTCCACCCATAATTTCCGCTAGTCTAGGAAGAGTATTGCGTTACTTCCGATTCTTTCCAAATTTGGTGCGTATGAAGTTTGTGGTGGCCAACTAGAAAGCCTTTGCTACTTTGGCCACCACACACATTTTTATAATCTGTACTTTATTTATTTCATTCTGTAATCATTTGTTGCAACTTTACTTTTCTATCTATGTTAATTTTATGTAAGTTTTGTGAAATAAATGAACCAATGAAATGTTAAACGAATCCTGAAACTAGTTTGATTAGCGACATTTGAATGTACATTACACAACGCTCATTTGAAATTTCAATTTTCACCGCTGAACATGGCTTCATCGTCAAAGCGTGTGAACCCTTCTCCTCTGAAATGGCGTTTTAATTAACCGTTAGCAGTAAAAAGGCTGCAATTACCGTTAGGCGTGCAAAGACAAAAAAAAAACTGACAAATCTAACCGTAAATTGAAAGTGATAATTCTTTACCGTGAAAAGGCCCAAATACTAAACCTTTAGGCGCAAAAAGCTACAAAGTTAAACGTTAGCTGTAAGCACCACTAACAGATCTCTCACAATTATGACCCATATGCGACCTACCGCAGCCCAACAAAAACCATCAGTACAAGAAAAAGTCCCGTTCTTTCGCTTCTTTACTGAATGGTGCGAAGTTATCTTCAGAGGTTTCATATCTTTTTACTTTTGCTCCACTCCTTGCGAGCTCCTTTGATATTTCCCTGAGCATGGCCTTGGCGTATTCCCCAATAAAATCGGACATTTCGCTGTCTTCAGTTCGGTTTTCTTCCAAGATTTCTCTTGCATCCGTGAAGGAGTCGTTCAGTATGGCTACAAAGAAGTTCATCAGGAAAACAGTCATACCGAAAAAATAAAAAAAGATGAAGAAAGGTCCGAGAAAATGGTTTATTGCTTCCAAGTCATCATAATTTGTTCCTTTTCCCAGTATCATTTCACAGACGTTTACCAAAGACCTCGTGAATGTAGAAAACATGTACGCTGAACGTCCAAATAGCATGTTACCCATGACGGCAAAAGCCAGAAGAGCCACGAGGAAGACAAATGAATACGATAGCATGGGACCTTTGGATACAGTTATGCTCTTAGCCAATTGGGAGATATGCTTATTAAACTTCAAGATGCGAAGGAACTTCAGTGTGGACAGAAAAGTAACCATGGCAATAATCACGTTTTCTATGTCTGTCCATAACGCAACATAATCAAAACTCATCCGGCCATAAGGATTTTCATGAACTTTCACAACAAGTTTTCGGGTTTGTTCGGCTTTGAAGAAGAAAATCACCATAGTTGTAATTGTGAGGGATATCAATCCCCACTCGTTAAAGCTCCATATGTTTTTCAAGTACGCCCAACCTAGTTGACGCATTTCGCGTATCTCTATGTAGATTGAGGATATAAGTATGAAAACAATGATTACGTAACATGCTAAAAAAATTGAACCGGTGTGTGAATTGATGCTGCGGGAGAAGGAAATAGGGTCAGTACGATAAGATAATTCCATGCCGCCTGTAGGTAACCACTCGAAAGAATATCGAGTAAAAGCAAACAGATTTGTCGCTGGCTCGAATGTGACGAACTCAAACAATACAATCACTGTCCGTCTGTTGATCCAGTTGTCAGCAATAAGGTTGGTAATGACCTCCCAGGCTGTCTCTTTTTCATATCCTAGTTCTGCTACAAGTCCACCACCGGCATAAGTGCCAATTGATGTCACAAAAGGTAAAGTGCCCAAGGATGTCGCATCCTGGAATTTGACGGTGTGGTCACACGAGACTGGCACAATGGAAAATATTTCTTGAATGCTTCTGTTGGTGTAACTGCTACCGTTACTACTGTTGTTAAAATAATTGTAACGGCTGCTGCTGCTGCCAGTTCCGATGTCGGCATAAAATGGCGAGACATCAATCAACTCCAGTGCTGAATGGCTATAGTCAATGATACTGCTTCGGTACTCATGATAGCATCGGGGAAACCAGCGTTTAAACTCTGGATAAGCAGACCATGTAAGGCATGGCTCTAAAGTAAGATACAATCATATCTATCACTCACTCTTATTGTATGAGTGGTATAGAACGTTAGATATAGGTAGTCTACCAACCTAACTTGACAAGGCTAGGAAGAAAATGGTACCTCGATGTCTAAAACCCTATATTTTAGGAATTTTTAAATCATCTTGGATCTTAGACAGCATACTTGGACAGGATTTCACGATCTTCAGCATTTTTTAAAACTATTTTTGATCCACGAACGCTTGCGTAGATTGTAAAGTGAATGAAAACGTACTCTTGTCAACCCAAAGGCGCATGGGTATAAGGCACAAATGTTTTGAAAATGAGTAGATATAAGTCTTCTAAGCAGACTTAATCGTGACGAGTTTGTCTTTTCACTGAGACCGCTAATCACACCAGACGAACAAGAGTTTTTGGAATGGCGATTTTCTATTTGGCATTAAGCTTAAGGCAATACCTGGTTTTATACGTAGCTGTCGCAGTCGAGGAAGGCCGACAATAAACGCCCTTTTATTGGAGAAGAAATCATCCTCTTCAAATGGTCGTCCATTATACCATGGGGCACTATACAAACCAGGAAGCATAGAATTCATGCACCACCACCAAAATGTGTGTACATTCTTGACCTTTAAGGTTAGAGAATAGAGAATTTGTACGTGAGGGTTGGATACAGAAAGAAATATAACAAAATAGAGAGGTCCTCTGGACTAACAGTGCTTCATTATAAAAGCACACAAGCCGGCCAATAATCGACACGGACGGCTGTTTCTAGTATATATGGCACCATATATGGCTGACAAATTTTTTTTATGCTATTGAATATCCCATATTATTAAAAACTAGATCATTGGATAATGCAATTC